GTGAGTGTTTCTCAATGCCTAACTATCTATGTTAGCAATATGTGCATGTGAATTGAATCCCAGGTTGATGGGCTGTTTCTTTTGAATTATTGCATGTTAATACGCCAATTTTTTAAATAAATATGTTTAATATGCCACTCAAACGTTATGTTCTTGCCCTCAATCTGTAGTTTTACGATTTAAAATTCTAATAGCACTGGAATTTTTTTTACCCATTATTATAGAAAAGAATTCAAATCATGAATGAAAGGTTCTATATATAGTTCTTCTGAGTTTTTTTTTTTTTTGATTTGATTTCTGTTGACCTTTTTTTGACAGTTCTTGAGTATCTAAATACTGTTGATGAATCAATAAAATTTAAATTATAGAAGTTGTTATGCTGATTTATACAAGTATCAGATCAAAGATTGTGAATAGTTTTTTGTCGATTCTTTATACATCCAGCATTTTTTTAATCAGTCACTACTATTGTGAAGGGGATGATTTAATGTTTACGGACGAAATCAATTGGATTTCGTGTGGAAATGTATTTCAAATTTCACTGTTCTTTCTCCAAATTTCACTGTCCTTTTTAGACACCCTTGGCCCTTGGGGGAATAACTTGTGGCTTTTTGCACTATATACTGAAGGAGCATGAGATTTAGTTTGAAACCCTGCTGATCTTTATTCAAGCTGGAGGGTGTTCTTCTTTTTTGGTGTATGTAATTGTTTTAGTAGTAGATCGAGTATTTCAACCTTTTATGACTCTCTTATTAAATGGGCGATTATGGCTGAGTTGCAGGATATCTTGTAAAGCAAAAACTCTTAACCATCTCTTGTTCTAGTGTTTTCTCTACAGAACATGGGTAACCTTTTATGTTGTGTGCAAGTCGACCAATCCACAGTTGCTATTAAGGAGCAGTTTGGCAAGTTTTATGAAGTACTTGAACCAGGATGCCATTGTGTTCCTTGGATATTTGGATGTCAGCTGTCCGGCCATCTCTCACTTCGGCTGCAGCAGTTGGATGTGCGCTGCGAGACCAAGACAAAGGTCTATCTTGTTGTCCAACAGTTAATCTTGTTTGGAGTTATTACATCATTTTTCATTTTTTAGAATGTAAAATTTAATTATTGATATGATATGAAGTAGTTGTGTAAAATCCTTCCTTACATAGTTTGTTCCTACCCCTGCTGAGGCTACTCAGACGTGTACTCTTTTTAGTAGTGGGTTAAGATATTGCAGTGAACTGAAATAGTTGGCCTTCATGTTCATCTATTTTCAGGACAATGTATTTGTCAATGTTGTAGCATCAATACAGTACCGTGCCCTGGCAGAAAAGGCAAGCGATGCTTTCTACAAACTCAGCAACACAAGGACTCAAATCCAGGCATATGTTTTTGATGGTACAAACTTAAAAATGACTGTTGAAATATGGAAATTAGCATACTGATGTTCATACAATAAACATAATAACCTGATCTGGGTTGGCCTTGTCCATTGATTTAGTAATAAGAGCAAGTGTTCCAAAACTCAACTTGGATGATGTTTTTGAGCAAAAAAATGACATTGCAAAGGCTGTTGAAGACGAACTTGAAAAGGTAACATAGTTGAATACATAGGTTGTGATTTGATATTGTGAAGCCTGATCCTTGACTTGGTTGAAATGCTGGTTGTTTTGTAACTTCTTACAGGCCATGTCTGCATATGGGTACGAGATTGTTCAGACACTGATTGTTGATATAGAACCAGATGAGCACGTGAAGAGAGCAATGAATGAAATCAATGCAGGTAAAGCCCACAGAATCTCTTATTTGATTGGTCTTTCCATTGCTAAGGCTTTGCAGATTGCAGAGTGATATGACATTACATATGTCTAATATCTTGTGTATCCTATTGTTTTGCCTTAGTTTTCACTAATAAACTCTTGGCCAGTGGCCACAGAAAATACCCAATGTGAAAAACCCACCAAATGGTAATTTCTGCTTGCTGCTGCCTGCACATTCTTGTCTTCCAAATTTGGTTCTCACTAACCAAGGGTGTTGGGAGGGGTGGATTGGGTACAAACCTAATCTTTGGATGGCTGTTTTAACCCAAATTTGCTTTTTTTTAGTCTGACCCTTTTACCATTGTACTAAGTAATGACACTTTGGCTGTTAAGAACACGGTTTTTAGCCCAACACTTCTACCACTGTACTATGCAATAACACATTAGCTATTAAGAACAGTAGATCAGACCTGTAATGAATTGACTTAACTGAGAAAATGATATTCATTTTTTCTTGGGGAGCAAGTTTCTTGTCCTGGAATACAATTTTAGCTAGCAAAACAATGTTAAATTGGGTAACTCTGGTTGTGACATATTTGTAAAAATCATTCATGCTCATGTCCTAAAAATATCTTAAATTCACCAATTATTGTCAACTAATGTTTCTCCAGCTGCAAGGCTGAGGTTGGCAGCAAATGAGAAGGCAGAGGCTGAAAAAATTCTGCAAATCAAGCGAGCTGAAGGTGAGGCTGAGTCTAAATATCTCTCAGGATTGGGTATTGCTCGCCAGCGGCAAGCAATTGTGGATGGCTTGAGAGATAGTGTGCTAGGTTTTTCAGTTAATGTGCCCGGAACTAGTGCAAGAGATGTTATGGACATGGTCCTTGTCACCCAGTACTTTGACACCATGAAGGACATTGGCGCTGCGAGTAAATCTTCTGCTGTGTTCATTCCCCATGGGCCAGGGGCCGTTCGTGATGTGGCTACCCAGATCCGTGATGGGCTTCTTCAGGCTTCAACCCATCATTGATTTTCTTGCTTTTATAAGGTTGGTTTGAAACAAGTTTTATACTCTTATATACCCTACAAGGCGTTGGTGTGTTTGATTTTGCTCTCATGGTGATTGTCATCCAGACAAAACCTAGCACTGTACATATAACTATGAAAATTATGAGATGGTTCTGTTTCATAGATGATGCATCCTTTTATGGTAATATGTTGAATAATCCGCAACAGCTGAAGTTTTCAAATCGAAGCAATCTCATATGACTGATTGGGATAGTTGGTGACTGTTCAGGTATGATAAATTTGCAACTAATGAGTGCTTTGTAAACAATAAAGCACTCTGGTGGTTGATGGTGGTGGTCAAGTGGTAGCTGCAGTCATGGATCAGACGTTCGTTCTAATTTGATGAATTTGTGGTGGTGTAAGGCTGTGACTAAAATTGGTAGTTTTCCGAGAGGAAGAGCTCATGCTTGTTTCGCCAGTTATGAACTTCAGGGTTTCTGACTTGCAGAGGAAATCCCATTCCTAAGCCATGCCTTCGAGTTTTGCCCCACCGGATGAGTTCTGATACACACATTGGTTGCTTGAGACTTGAAAGTGTATCGCTATTATTATTCTTGTAAATTTATAACCACCCTTAAGGCCATACTACTTAACATAGAAAAGATTGTTATAAAACAACATCACAGCATTGATATCACCATTAAAAACCGGGCAATTTGGCACATAATTGAAGAACTATGATGCTTGACAGATGCGATTAGGAAGTAGAACCAGACATTTGGTTTACTGAAGGTGAATGCTATAATACATCTTCATCTACACAAGGGAAAGTAAGTTGCAAAAGCCAGACTCATAAAGCCATATCATCCAGATGATTGCTGAGTGGACGATGACTTATGGAGCATTCTTAGCCGCACTTGCTTCTCTCTTCTCGGCGATGTGGAATGGACCCCACTAAGGGTTTCTACATTAGAAGTTATTTTATTTTTATTTTTTGGTTTTCACTAGGCAAGAAGAAAAGGAGAGAAGAGTAAGACATCGATGCAGATGATAATACATTGAGCCATAATTTGTTTTTTCACTGATTGGAATTTAGCATTTTAGAATGAAACATGAACATTATAAAAGGGACTGATTCTTTGGCTTGTCATTTCTATGCAATTCTCTGAGGTAAAGGTTTCTGTAGTATCTTGTACTACTTCATCAGATTCTCCAAGTTGATATCTCAATCACTCCTTGGGCCCAATTTCTTGTTCTCTTGCTCATCTCCTCATCGACACCAATGGCATTAGAGAATAGCACCTAACATTCAACTAGCCAACGTTCTCTCTTTCCATCAAAGAACCGAAAAGGAGACAATAATTGTATTTTGAAGTATATAAAAAAGTAATGAGATCTTGTTTTCAGTGTAGAACTAGTAAGCCAAACTCTTTTCTGGTATAGAATTTGTTTAAAGCATGAATCTCATTCTCCCAATAGGCGTGGTGGGAACCCCTAATGCCAAGGAGACAGTTGAGGCACCGATGATTGTTTGATGTTAGGAATGAAGTTTTGCCCATGATCAATGCCACCTCTGTTACTTGCATGCATTGCTCTCGGACTAGGCTTCATTCCTTGCATAAACTATCAGATAATCAGCAGAAAGGTGTCTCCCTTGTAGCAGTTCTGTATGTTTATTCTCATGATCTTATAGTATTGAATTCTCTACTTAGGTTATTTATTGCATACATCTCACACAGTAATTGGCTTTCTTCTGTTTTAAAGATCTCAGCAGTGATCATCATTAAAGCCTTTTCAAAGCTGTAGATGTCTATTTTCGCGTCATAGTTTGCCAGAGAGATATAGCACAGTTACTGTAATCTATTTGTGAAACTTTCACACCAACAATTGGAGCCCTGTTCCCATTTCTATAAGCCCTTTATAAAGCGATCTCTAGCAGCCGGAGTTTTTTTTTTATTTCATGTGTTATCACGTGGTTTAAAGGCTCATTCCTCAACCGTCAGACATAAATTTTGAATGTTTTGCTCCAATAACAACTGTTTTATCATAACAAACAGGACAGCTAGTTATTGTAGTTAGGCTTTTTTCCATTGTCTGGTTGCACAGACACACACATATTTTTGCTCAATTTCTCTTTACTCATCTCCTATTTCCCCTCTCTTTTCATGTTGCATGCAATGTGTATATGAGTTTTGTTGTCTTTTCCTTCACCCTAGATTTATTTGTATACACAGAATTAGTTTTCTAGGGTGTATATGACCAAAACACTTGATATTGCGGAAGGGAGGACCATTTGCATGATTTTTGTATTGCAAAGCATATTCAAATTTACGCTTTGGATAGAAAATTGTGGTCTTGCCAGTCAAGAAACAATATGCTTGATGTCTACACACTAGAGATGACTACAGAATTAGATCTAAACATTCTTTAAATCTGCATTTGAAGAGGAAATTTCAAAAGGAGTGAATAGTCCAACTCGAGATTAATATAAAGTTCAATTCTTTGCTTGCCCCAACCTTCATAAAAGGTCGATGAGAATTTGAAAATGAACACAGGAGGCTAAAACTAAGCTCATGCTCCATGATTTTGCAAAGATTACAGTATTCGTCTAGATTAGGATAAACGATTTTTATTGGTATTAGTTTCTGGGGGATTGATTTAGTGCATAAAAGCCACGGAGAGTCCAAGCTTAGCACTTCTTGTCACAGCCTTAACATCCACCTGTCCATCAAGAGTTAGAAAGAATGTGTCCAACAGCTCCTGCTGAATGAGGGCACCTAACTTGCCATTGGTATCCACTCGAGCTTTGACCAATGTAAAAGGAAACACTGCATGCTGGGCGCCAAATGCCAATGTGGTCTCGTTGCTCAAGAATCTATGCCTTACCTCTGCTGCAATGGCACTGTTCGTCAAGGGGTTCACTGGGTGGTAGCAGGAAGCTATTACACTGTCAGCCATGTCATTCCTGCATCATTACTAAGCTTTAGAACAACCACCATATTGACTCGGGTAAATAATGAAGAAAATTATCCAACACTAAATCAAATGTTTGCTTGTACAATTCTGTAGTTTCTATTGGTGGAGTCCCATTTTCCAAATGTCATGAAATAAGGCTTAGAAAGGGCAGTATGACATGAACTTATGGAGAGGTTATCCGAAAACTTTGATGAATAGTAGTAAGCTGTAAGGTTTGTGCCAAACACATGCCAATGGGCCAGAATGTGGCTCTCTTACAATGTTAAGGAGGCGATGAGGATGGAGCTGTTGAAACTGAAACCAGCGTTGCATTTAGCGAATTTCCCTGTTGCGCTATCAAAGGAGAGGTCAGTCCCAATGGAGAATAAACTTTCTCCAACTACTCCCGAGAAATGCAAGAGGGGTTTTGAAGTCAAACCGATGCCGGCAGTAATCCCAATAAAGTCATGCAAGTATTGCAGTTCCACCTGTTATCACAATCACCACTGTACATGAATGAAGTTTGATTCAAATAAATGGATAACACGAAATGTAGGTAACACATATGAAAAAGTAAATATATGGATATAACATCCTGAGCTTATCAAGCACACCATATCATATATGCGCATGAAGGCAAGAAAGTGGCAGAAAATTCTTACCCTGTTAGACCTTTGGAAAGGTAGGCTAAACCTGAAACCTGTCCCGAGTCCGGGAACAATATCATTAACTGAAATAAGAATTTCAAGAATTATTCTGAAATATCAACCATGAAGTAGGGTTCTAAAAAACAAAATGACAAAGAAGACCACTACACATATTCTACAACATTACAACTTCTCTTCAAAGATATATAGAAGTCAATTCTACAATGGTTCCCTTATTGTAAGAGAGATTATGCCAAGAACACTAGTTATAACTATTTCCACCTATAAAATAGGACTAACATTCTATACTAATTGTCATATGTCAGGTCTACACTGAATCATTTGGTCATGTTATGTTATTCGTTATGAAATGGCAAAATAGCAAAGTACTAGGGTTTGACATGAACCATAAATGAAGCCAATAGAAACAATCAACGAAAATCTATGAAGGTCTTTCTTCATGGCGAAAACATCAAGTTGTGTTTCAGAAGTAATGAAAATGGTTTTATACCAATTGGTATCAAAATACATAAATTGATGAGTAATGTACATGATGTTCCTCAATATATACCAAGCTATGCCACTAGTTGGAACTGACATAACAAGCTTATATCCTAACTGCTTTTATTACAGCATACCTAGGCACTTCCTCAAATTATGTAAGATATGGTGCCCATGAAGAGAAGCAGCTAATTGAACACATAAGCATGAACCTACCTTATTCAAGTATCCTCTCATTGAATAGTGATACATTCAAATAACAATAGGGAGGAAAAAACCAGTGAAAAAAACTTGGATTTGCCATCAGTAGAATAAGAGAAGATTACTTTGGCACAGTAGATGAAAACTCCAATCAAAGCATCCATAGTGATAGTGAATTGATGGTTGACGAGTATAATTCTTGTAGAGAAGATCTAGAAAATATTGAAAAAGAAGCTATTAGTCCTTACAGGAGAAAATTTCCTCTATATTTTTTCTCAGAAATGAAGTGGAATCTGAAGAGACGATGACCAGGAGGAACACAATTTGAATATACGGTAGTACCTCTGGCTTTGCTGCCTATATCAGGGTAAATGCCTGGTTGCTTGATCATTTCTAAAACTACTCAAGATCCAACCGTTTTACTTCATTAAACTTTGTTTAGTCCAGCTTTGCCTATGTAATGAAAAAGAGAAGTAGAAGCCAAAGAGGAAGCTTCCTGTTAGGTGATAGAAATTGTGGGAAGCTTCCCATAACCAAATCTAGCTTGATTTAATACTTAGGCTTGACTAAGCTTATGAGAATATTCGACTGATACATAATGACGGCGAAGAACAAGAAAACATAGACTAGAAGACATGAGTTTTGAATATGCTGAATACAGCTTAGCAGCTCTCAATTAGTCCAGGTTATGCAGCATGTTATCAATGATGATCTTTGAACTGCCATGGGAACACCCCTTGAATTGGACACATTCATTCTGGTTGTCATTTTATATACTCTTGGCAGGTAATAAGTTTGGCCCTTCTCATTATCCCGCCTTCAAAACAGAAAAATGTTGTCATCTTACATAAATGTCAACCATTCTGTCCCTTCTCATTATCCCGCCTTCAAAACAGGAAAAATGTTGTCACCATACATAAATGTTCTACTTGTTTTCCCAGATGGGTTCATGATCTTTTTGTAGATCCTTGTGAAATTCACCTTCAGTTTGCAAATAACATCCTACCGTGTCTTAGGTTGAAATTGTTCCTTTTTTCTATCGAAATTCAGCAATAGGGATAGATGTGGGAGTGTGAGTAGTATGAAACACATATGGGGGATAATAGAAAGACCTTCAGAAGTGTTTTATGTGCTATGATTGAATCCTAACTTTGCAATTAAGTGGAAATTCTGTTATGCTAATGTGAGCCAAGAGGGTGGGACAATAGCTGCACTCATTGTATTCAATTCTAATTCTGCAGTCAAGCATGCTTAGGTGAGAGCTCTATGGACCAGCTTAAAAGTTTTAGTTTTGCTCAAGGTTGGGCCTATTTGCACCCCCTGAATCTCAAAACTCACTTCATCAAACCTGATATTATTAGATCCACGGTTCCTCATGCCGTTTTATACTGCTTCATTGGCAATAAAGTTTATCCTATTCTACATCCATCATATTAAATGAAAATTAGAGCGTGTCCTCTCCCATTTCACACTCCCTCCCTTATGCTCTCTAACCGCACTGTCTTTTTCATTTCATTTTTCAACTCGAGATTGGTTATTGGTAGCCCGAGCGAGAAACAACTATGATGGCACAATACTTCACTCATACTACAGGACTTCAATAAATCTTGTGGGCCAAAGGTTTTCCTACCACATCAAATACAACAATCTTCCAGCCTACCTATCTTTGAAGGAGTCCATTGTGTAGATAGGTGAATGAATTCGGGGGGAGAGCTGTCTTTTTCCCCATCAATTTAACCTTCCTATTTTTAAAAGGGCAATTTAGAAGTTGGTATAATTTTTTAGACTTACTCAAGCAAAAGTACGACTCAAAAACTTATTTTGTGTAAAGTGTATAATTTTTTTAAAATACTATTATTGTCATCGGTAAATAGTAAATATAAGAAAATCCATTATTTTTTATCCGTTTTTTTTGGCTAAAATCAAGTAGGAGGTAAAATAGAGGGTTTAATTATCAAAACTCATCTTCTTCGACAGAGGGATTGGAATGCCAGAATTGTGACTGTTCATCGTCCAAAAAAATGAGGAATCTGAGTTATTGTTCATCGTCCAAAAAAAAAGAATACGACTTACTGTTCATTGTGTTTTACGGTCAAGTAACTGTGAATCATCTTCGACAATTTTTTCACCAAAAATTGTAGGTGACATTCATTTTTGTTTTTTTGTCATTCATTATTTATTTTTTTCCACAATCTGTGTTGTATGATTTTTTGATTAAAAATAGTTACGTAACTGTATTAAGTAACTATTTGTGATCACAAATTGTAAACTGTTAATATTCAAAAATTAATGGTTGAAACTGTATTGACACAATTACACCTATTAAAAAATAGTTACACCCATTAAAACAAAATCAGTTTTTTCCCCTTCATTAGAACATTGAGCAAACATAAAACAAAATCAAACATAAGAATTTCCCAAAATAAAAAATGATCGAATAAAAGAAGAAATATACATATTATGTCTATACGAAAAAATAGGTACATCCATTAAAAACAGTTATACCCATTAAAAATAAAAGCAATTTTTTTCCCCCTTCATTCCCACAACGAACAAATATAAAACAAAATTGAACATAGTCATTTCCAAAAAAAAAATGATCGAATAAAAGAAGAAATATACTTATTATGTATATAAGAAAAAATAGTTACACACATTAAAATCAAATGCAGTTTTTTTCCCCTTCATTCCAACAACGAACAAATATAAAACAAAATCGAATATAGAAATTTCGCAAAAAAAAAATGACAAAATAAAAGAAGAAATATAATTATTAACAACTAATCTTTAAGCCGATGACGATAATTGGTATTTGCAACTCCCTTTTTCAAATAAATTCACCACCAGAGAAATAAATCAATCGTTGAATAAGATTCTTACTGCCAAGATCAGATGAATACAAACGTTGAAGAAGACTCTTACCACAAAGATCAATTTTTTTTTGAATAAACTGCAGAGACGTTTGAAGACTTTTTTGTGTTACTGCATAAACTTTTTGTTTTACTGTAGAGATCAGTTGAACACAAACTTTTATTGCATACAAGATTGCTCATTCAAAATTCAAAAATTAAAGATAACAAATATGTAATCTTTACATATTTGTTTTCTCAAATAACTGTTAATGATGACTGCATAAATTAAGGAAGGGTGTTTAAGTAAAAAAAATTTTAATTCATTTGAATTTTGTCCCTAAACACAAAAATTTTTATAAAAATTGTACTTAATAGAATAAATAATTTATTCATACATTTTTACTTAAATAAATTTTAAAAAATATGCTCACACCTAAAAAAAAAACCCTTTTTGAAACCCACGTCTTTCTTGGGTTTGATCAGGCCTCCATATGTGGGCTTATGGCTACTATTGAAAAAGGGCCCGGAAAACATAGGCTACAAATAAGGGTAAATTATATCAATAGTTCATGAAGTTTATCACTCATGTAACTTTAGTCCTTAAACTTTCAATTTCTTCAATTTAATCCTCAAAGTTCAAACATTGGAATAAAGTAGTCACTCCCACAAACCACTGTCTAAAACATTGACAGAAAATAGCATGTTCTTGGCACGTGATTCCACTAAAGGATATTTATGTCTTTAGGCTTTTAAAATAAAGGGTGTAAGTGTAATATTATATGTAAAATAGATAAAATAAATAGAATATGATATTATATAAAAATTCTGTAAACAATCTCTCTCTAACGAAAATATCGACTACCGCTACAATCCCCCACCACCACGACCACCTCCTTATTCTGTCCATGGTTCTCTCTCTCTCTCTCTCTCTATCACACACACACTCTGTGCAACACCCGTCATCGCCCGTCCCCATGATGTAGATAAAATGGAAAACAATAAATAATTAAAATAAACGAATATTGCATACAAAGGGGAGTGAAAACCAGCCTGCTTATTGGTCTCTACAATTCACAATAACCTTCCAATCAGTTGAACAAGGTTTTTAAATGGCCACTGAAATCACCCTCCTTCACAAGCTGACCCAGCCAAAAACTCTCAAGACTTTCAGACATTTTTTCTCTTATCTGCTTATATTTTCTTTGCCTTTTATGTCGAACACTGTTGAGATTTGCTGAGATTTGATTAACACTAGTTTTGGAAATAATCTTTACTGCACATATTTAGGAATTTGTAATCCCTTCATTCAAGGGAATTAGTTGAGATTTTATTTTCTTTCCTTGCTGATCAGATCATGACTTGATCTGTATATGTGTATATATTGTAGTCTTTTAACATAGAAAACAAAATGAGAAATAAAGAGCTTTCTTAATTCCTATTTTGTCATGGTATCAGAGCAATGATCCTATTGCTTCTGTAAAATTCCGCATACTCTAACTAAATATGTCTACACCAGCGATTGATCCAGCAGATCCTCTGTTTCTTCACCCTTCTGATCATCCTGGACTGATCCTTGTTCCAAAGGTCTTAGATGGAACCAATTATGCCATGTGGAAACGATCAATGCTGATCAGCCTTAGTGCCAAAAACAAATTGGGATTCATCGAAGGAACCGTTACCACTCCAGAGAAAAAGGATCCCACATACTCTTTATGGCAGCGTTGCAATGCTATGGTACTCTCTTGGATATTCAATTCTCTAAGTCAAGATCTTATACACAGTGTTCTCTATGCTGAAACTCCCTCAGAAATTTGGACAGATCTTCAAGACCGATTCTCTCAAGGTGATTTTTCTCATCATTATCAAACTCAACGATCCATTGTTGAACTGAAACAAAATCAAGAATCCATTTTTTCTTACTATACAAAGATGAAAATGCTGTGAGATGAGCTAACCACCTGTAGCCCCTCAATCACCTGCACGTGTGGAGGTAAAAAAGATCTAAAAGAAAAAGAAGAAAGAATTCGCCTTGGTCAATTTCTTATGGGACTCAATGAGACATATTCTGCTATACGAGGACAGATTATGCTCATGCATCCTTTACCAACTGTCAAAAAGGCATATTCACTTTTATGTGAAGAAGAAAAGCAGCGAGGCCTCACTGAAACAAAGAGCAGTGATCTTATTCATGCCATGAGTATTCACACTTATGACAACTCCAAGGAGTCACAAACTATGCCCTCAAGACAACGACAACAATGGTCCTCCACTCATTCCAAGCCTCAAGGCAATCGAAAACCTCTTCATTGCTCTTATTGTGAAGGCACTACTCACACTGTGGATCGATGTTATTTTCTCAATGGGTTCCCAGTTGGTCACAAACTACATGGCAAAGAAGTTCAGCCACCCAATCGTAGCAGAAAAACTACTGCTCACCAAGCCAGTGCAACCATCATTTCAGATTCACACAAGTCCTCCATCGATCCTACTCCTCAATTCACCTCTCAAGAACTTGCTCAAATCAAAGCCTTTTTCAATGGTAAACAAT